ATCCTCTTGAATTAAGTTATATAGAATGAGTGTTAATTCAGTTCTTCACCAGATGATCCTTTTAGTAGCTGTGTGATTGTACCTCTTAGTTCTTTCTCTATTTGGTACTTCTTTTTGTTTTTCTTGTGCATTTTAAGCTTAAACATCTTACTTTTAATGGAATACAAGCCACAACTCTCAATAACAAGGTCACTGCCTTGTGACTGAGGGTCAAGACAAGTGACCGTGTCATTGGGGATAAGCAGTGAGTGAGGGATTTAGCTAGCATGGAATGCTAACCCCATTCAGACAGCTGGTCTGTTAGCCGAGACGAGTTAACTTGTGACAAACAGTGGTGTAGTGCTTCAGTATTGAATGCAGATCCACACTGTTAATTCAAATCACGGTCTCAACTGGCATTTAAAGCAATAGATAAAAAAATTAGACAATGTATGTACAGTATGGACATGTTTTAAGATGGCTGCTACTGCTGTTTAGCTATGGGATGTACTTTTGACCATTTTTGTAGAACAGCATGTCATACAGTGTCAGAAATCACATAATCAAGTCTATTAGAGATATTTAACAACTCAACTTTGTTGGAAGTGAATGTACGAAGACTTAGACATACAGTTTACATTAATGCTAATTGGTGATCATAAGCTTCAGTTACTTGTTAGCTACGAGTAATTGAACTTATACTTCTACTTATACTGAATGTACAGAAAACTTCTACTTATACTGAATATACAGAAAACAAGAAAGTATAACAATCAGGTCCAAATCATCACTGGTTAATATTAGTTAATATTAAATATAGGCAAAGAAGAAATAGTACAAGTTCAAGAGGTACAACTCGTAGGTGTTACAATTGACAACAGATTGTTATGGTCAAAACATATTGAGAACATAATTTAAAAAAATGGGAAAAGTCTTATCAGTAATAAGGAGATGTGCAACATTTTTAACAGCGAGGTCACTAAAACTAGTGTCAGAATCACTGGTACTATGTAATTTAGATTATTGTGCTGCAATCTGGTCAAATGCAGCAAAGAAGCATCTGACAAAAACTGCAAATAATGCAAAATAAGGCAGCAAGAATTACAGTACAATCTCCATATAGAACCAACATTAATAAAATGCATCATAAACTTGAATGGTTAAAGGTTGAAGACAGGTTGAAGATGATTCTTACTCGACTCGATATCCAGCAGATCTCTTTGATCAACTGGAGCAAGTAAAAGGTAGAGAAACTAATATAACAAGATATACGACAAAAATTATTTCAAATTACCCAGAGCAAAAACTAACTACATGTGTCTAACAGTGATTTATAGAGCCATAAAGGAGTGGAATTCCCTACCAGTCTGACTGCTTAAAATTAAGGGGTAAAATAATGTTTAAAAAACTGATAAAAAAAACACTATTTAACAAATGTAGAGATCAGTTAAGTAGATCGGTCCTTGACAGCTGGAACAACACTATGGTGGAGTGGGCAGGAATGTAGATATTTACCAGAATACAGTCAGCTGAAGTTTTTGTAAATATACACATGATATTTTCTTTCAGTGTGATTTATGTTATGTCTTTTTATTTTTCAGTTTCCTTTTTTTTCTTTTCTCTCTGTCTTTTTTTTTCTTTTCTGATTTTTTACTCTTGTGTTTTGTATGACTTGTTTTGTTAATTGTTACTGCACTATTTTTGTTAGGTGTGGTACATCCACTGGACCCCAGGAAGAACAGCAGCTATCACAATAGCAGTTAATGGGGATCCTGAAAATAAACAAAATAAAAAATAAATAAATAAAAAAATAAACATTAGCCTTATAGCTCCAGTGCAAAACTAAAGAAACAAACTTTAGACACTAAACATATCTTGGCTGACTCAGTACATCTGGGGTAAGTTGACAATTGGGTCTTTTTAAGGCCTAATCATTGCGTGATAACAATATAGGTAAAATGAGAAAGGGTATCAAAGCATTTCACCCCAAAATTCCTTTCCGTCAAGGTCTGCTAGGTGTATGATGTTTTTATACCTGCTGCTGTTGCTATTTTGGTAGCACTAATACACAAAACATGCTTTTCCTCAGGGAGTGTTTCTGTGGTTGAAACCACCAAACCCATCGCTGCTCTGTCAAATTGGTTCCACATTGCAAATTGTTTTTATTTGAAGCATCAACTTAGCAACCCACACCTACCACCCGCAGTTATTGTGGTATGCTTTTTACTGTGCTTCCCTTTGCCATATTTCCCATGATGTTATTTTATGATCCGACCTCCACTTTGTTTGTTTCTCCTGTTTCAGCCCTGGAGGTCTAATCTTGAGGGATTCTTTTACATCTTGACCACACTACCGTACGTCTTGATGGAATTATTCTGTTACTTGTCGAGTCATCTGGAGGAAGTGGCCTAAATAGCTTCTGCTTCACATAAATATGATTTATTTTTTACACATTTATTAATGTGATTGTATCTCGTTTAGTGACTTCTAAAATGAAACCAACCTTAATGATCCCCAAAAGGAAAAACATACAACGATCAGGCATAACATTATGACCTTATGACCTTGTTTCTACGCTCCTTGTCCATTTTGTCAGCTCCACTTACTATATAGGTGCACTTTGTAGTTCTACAATTATAGACTGTAGTCCATCTGTTTCTCTGCATACTTTGTTAGCCCCCTTTTACCCTGTTCTTCAGTGGTCAGGACAAATAAATAGAAATTGTGCAGTAGAATTTGCAGAAAATTTCCATAATAAAGCTTGTTCCCTGTAGAGGATATGTCAACTTATTTTCACTTAGAAAATCAACAAAACATGTCATCTGACTGGGCTTGTTCAAACTTTTGCTGATGACTGTATACAGTGGTGCTTGAAAGTTTGTGAACCCTTTAATATTTTCTACATTTTTGCATAAATATGACCTAAAACTTCATCAGATTCTCACACAAGTCCTAATAATAGATAAAGAGAATCAAATTAGATAATTGAGATAAAATTATAACACTTGGTCATTTATTTATTGAGGAGAATGATCCAATAGTACATATCTGTGAGGTGGCGGTGGTATCATGGTTTGGGCCTGTTTTGCTGTATCTGGGCCAGGATGGCTTGCCATCATTGATGGAGCAATGAACTCTGAATTATACCAGCAAATTCTAAAGGGAAATGTGAGAGCATCTCTCTGTGAGCTGAAACTCAAGAGAACGTGGTTCATGCAGCAAGACAAGTCGTTCTACCAGAGAATGGTTAAAGAAGAATAAATGAATGTGTTGGAATGGCCGAGTCAAAGTCCTGACCTTAATCCTATAGAATTGTTGTGGAAGGACCTGAAGCAGCAGTTCATGGGAGGAAACCCACCAACATAACAGAGTTGAAGCTGTTTTGTATGGAGGAATGGGCCGAAAGTGCAGGACTAATCACGGTTACCGGAAACGTTTAGTTGCAGTTATTGCTGCACAAGGGAGTCACACCAGATACTGAAAGTTGAGGTTTACATACTTTTGCCACTCACAGATATGAAATATTGGATCATTTCATTCTCAATAAATAAATGAGCAAGTTTAATATTTTTGTCTCACTTGTTTAATTTGGTTCTCTTTGCCTACTGTCTGATGAAGGTTTAGGTCAAATTTATGCAGAAATATAGGAAATTCTACAGGGTTAACAAACTTTCAAGCACCACTGTAGATGTATGAATATCATTACTGTTCCAAGAACCTTGTATCTCCAAATTGGCAGCTTTACTGGAGAAGGAAAAAACATTCTTAACTTTAATGAAAGTTAATGCATGTAATTTTGGACCATTTCTATTAGTCCATGAATGATGAAATGTTCATCCAATGCTTTTTTTCTTACGACATATTGGATCACTACTCCTTAACAGGATGCTCTGAGGTGATTGTTGGTGGGTTTCACTCTTCAAACCCAGCAGGGATTACTTAGTTCAAGCCACAGCCTCCAGGAACTGCTGCTGAGGCACAATTTTATCCATCTAAAGCTCCAGCTAATGCTGTAGGTGCATAAACAAACACTCTCTCTCAGCGTGTCAAAGGAAGTGTGGTGAGGTGAAGGAATTCGCCAGTGATCTTTCTCAGATTCAGGGAAAGGAAGTGTTAGTATTTCAGCCTCTTAGCTTCTAAACACTTTTTCCTATCACAACTTAAGCCACTTATAGTGGATTATGAAACCCTTGTGTTTTGGTTAACCAAAACTGTCAGCAGGAGATTTCATTCCCACACTGTTTCTTGCTATTTAGCTTTTCTTTTAGTTCATGATCAAAACGTTCTACAACACTAGAGCTAAATAACAGTCTGCGGGGATATTTACAGAGTGGGTGAGGCAGGAGAGAGAGAGTGGGGGATTGAATGAGAAAGAGGCTTTGAGGTGGTCTCCAGCACAAATCTGTCTGGTACTGCTGACCACACCAATCAAGAAGGCTCAGTTGCAGCAGATTCGATGCTAACGGCTGATTAGTTTGTCACCCAGGAGTGTTAGTCTTGAGTTTTCTCCTAAGACACATCTGCTGCCTCACTAATGGCTTTCTAATCCTTCCCAAGCCTGAAGTGTTTACCTTACTGCGCCTGCAACTGGAGGCTAGTTACGCTTCGACAGATAGATTACAGAACCGCACTTCAGTCTTCCTGGATTTCTGGACTTTCTTTGAGAAGGAAACTCCCCTTGAGTGCTCTCCAGGACCTCTGCAGCTATTTTCACTCCACCCTTCACTTCTCATGCCTATGAGCAGGTGGAAAAGGGCTCTAGACTTCAACTCATATGCTTAGGGAGACCACTGGCAAAGGAAACTGCCTGAGAAGTCTGGGACTTGTTTTAAGTGGCCACAATGGTTTTCTTATTAGACGCTGAGACTCTCAACTTGTCTGCATGAGCCTGGATGCTGCCTAGGCTTCCCTGCACTGCCTGCGTGTGGGTTTGAGTGTCTGGAGGCAGTCCACAGACTAGCACCAGCTGTTGAGCCAACAAGCGCGATTGCTCCAAGTACCGCTCCCACTCAAGTAGGAGTGTGTGGTGTATAAGTGTGTGTGCCAGTCTGTACGCACACCACAGCTTTGCGACCGTGCTCGGACGGCAGAAAAGAGGAAAATGCCGGCCATTTTGGTCGCCTCCAAGATGAAGTCGGGATTGCCCAAGCCTGTCCACAGCGCGCTGCCCATTCCCCAGTCACCCAGCCATAGACGAGCCGATCAGAACAGCAGCCCAAAGCCCAGCCACCCCAGCCTTATCCCTCTGAGGACTCCTCTCTCTAGGAGGCACAGCCAGGGCGTCGGAACGCCACAGATAAAAAGCCCGCCAGCCAAGGAAAAGGCACCGGACCCCCAGGTTTGAGCACAGTTATGAGATTCTTCCGCTTTTATTGGACATGGTATTATTAGCACTAATTGTCGTTATAGTGAGTGTGAGAAGTTGTTTAATTTGTTTTTAGATCTTGTAGATAAAACAGAGAAAACAAAAAACACAGTCTTGACTTTGGCTTTGCTGATTTTTACAAAAGCTCCATGTTTCATTATTTAAAACTGAAATTGTGGAGCATTTTTATTGGTCGATTCTTCATGAAATGTAAACACAATAGACTAGCTGGCATTTTTAGATTATGCATAAAATAAAATAACACAATTGGAGATACAGGGTTTTGTTCTGACAGCACCTCCATATATAATACTTAGGGAATATATTATTATTATTTATATACACTTATCTTTTATCTATTTTCTATCTTTTATCTATTTATATACACACATCTATTATACATATGGGATATGGTGCACTGTTCAACTTTGCAAGAATCAGTACAGTAAGAAATTACTTATGAAATTCATTATGCAGAAACTAATACCAAACTAATGTGTATAACTCTGTATTTATGAGGGTGATGAACTAAAGTGCACACCCACATACAGATCTTTGGAGTCTAAGGGGTTAATGTGCACCTGCAGGCAGTTGTGGCTTTGGTTAAGCTTTGTAGTAGGAGCACATAGTAAAGTTTTAATAAGACTCTTTATGAGCATGTGTGTGGATGTAGGTGTGCATGTGTGTGTTTTTACAGGTGAGGGTGTATTTCTCAGGCTGCTCTACGTCAAAAGTCTAAAGTTAGAGCAGAATCATTACAGTCATCATTAGAGTGATTTCATTCATTTACACGCACTTAAGTGGGTGTGAAGAGGCTTTACCTGGTTCAGTGTGGGATTTAAGGGAGATCAACACCTTGCTTGAGGTCACTGTGTGTTGAGCTACTGACAAAGTGTGTTTGTGCCAGCACCGTCAACGTGTCACAACAACATCCTGTGATAAAGATAAGAACTTCTGACTCCATTCAACTAAATTCAACCCAGTTTTGCTGTCATTACGCATATACAGAAGGCTATGCTGTTATGAAGTTAATTCTGTTTAAATAAGGGTGCCAGGATGGCAAAAATAAAGATTAATTTACCAGAACAGTCAAACCGTTGCACATCAGGAGCTCTAACGGGACCCTTATTTGCTCTGAAAGAGACCTTTGTTTGTGCCGGAGTGCCAAGACCTTTCTAGCTTCATGCCTAGTGAATAAATTCAATTGAAAATGTTATATTGTTTTAAGAATAGACGAGGCAGTTCTGGTCAAATGTGACGTTCTGCCTCATTACACAACACTACACTGAGCCTGCAGCTGCTCTGCGAGTGTATTTATTTTGCCTTGTGCTCCTGCTACAGTGAGGAACTTCTCTCTTTATGTGGTTTGGAGGATGAAATGCTGCACCGCTCACTCTGTCATTACAGTATTACACACAGAAACACACACAGCAGTGGAGGTTTTACTATAGTGCTCCATTAGTAGTGGTGCGCCACACTGCAGGTGGGCACACGGCCATGTGGGATCCACACACACACACACCACTCTGGAGCACATCAATGGGAACGGCACGCTGGCACTGATCCAAAGATCAGTCCATGCATTTATATATACAATACTGATCTCTAGCACACACCCATATGTTCACATATATCCTCTTATTCTCTAATCAAAGCCCATATGCTCACATATATGCCCCTCGAACACTCATGTGCTTTCGTAAAGCCTATATTCTTAAAAGGCTACTATATTTGTCTATTATTTTATTTTTTTCCCCCACTTATGCGGTTTGTGTTGTTTTATATACCAAAACAGTTATCATTCGTTTTTTCATAACCATTTTCCAAATCTTTACCTATTAGAATTAACTCTTTTGTGGTGTTGGGGTCTGTGGGACCCATTTTTAATGTTTACCAAGAGAAAAAATGATATGATTTATTATTATTTCAACCCCAGTCTCCTTGGCCTTTGCTCATTTTCTGTGAAGAACATATAAAAGAACACATTTTCAGTGTCTTCACTCTGTTCACCCCCCCTACACATTTATATTACACATGGTGTTAGGGTGAACCTGCGGGGAGTAAAAGTGTGGAGATGCTGTGTCCTTCACTCTGTTCTCCTGTGGACAACATGGACAGGCTGCTGACTGGCTACAGCTGCTAAAGGAGAGCCCTACACTGGACACTTGTGATATTTTAAACATCTGGCATTTTTACATAAATTGTTATGGCTGTATTGATTTAAAAAACAATAATGTGGTGGGTCCACAAGGGTTAAACAAGCTGTTTGTGTAACTGTGTCTTTAAAATGGATATAAGTGAATGAGCTCTGATTTGATCAGCCACCCTGCATTGTGCCTCATTTAAAGTCTTTTACAACACTCCTTATAACTTCAGTGTGCATGGGTAGGATTAAACCAGTACAGGCGGAATAGGTGGATGAATGTGAATGTGTTTTTAAAAGACATCACAAAAATAATGAATTCAAAACAGGCTATTTTTCCAGCTTAGTTTCCGTATATAGAACTTGCGGATTGCGGGACTGAAAGTTTTGAAACCTTAGCCATATTTACATACCACGTTAAGCCACGTTATTAAAAAGACTTTGTCTCTTCCATGATATGTTCTCTTTAAGGTTGTAAGTTTTTGCACTTCTGTCCCCTTTTATACTGGCGTACGTTACTGGAAAATTTGTGGCTGTGGCTGGTGCAGAGTGTGTTTTGGTAGGAGACGGGTTTTTAGAAAAAGGCTGCAGTTTCCGACCCGGCAGACTACATTGTAAATCCAAACTAATAATTTGTTACATAACTTGTATCATTGATTCTTATTGAAATGAGTGAAATGAAAGGGGTGAGGATGGTAGGAAGATGGACTTCATTTATAAAGCATCTGGACTTCCATTTCACAGGAAGGGATCTTATTTAGCTGTCAGTTATCATACTGAATGTCCAACTCAGTGATACTGTGTTAAAGAGCTCATATAATTTTCCAGCACTTTGGGAAATGACAGTTTATATAATATATAAACACAGCTAAAGTTTCAAAACATACCGTTCATCCCCCAGTTCATACAATCCGACCTCAAAAAACAGCCCGTTCTGAGTTCATTGTTTCTGTGAAGTCACGAAAACCAGCACATTTGTGCGTACAACAGTTTAGCTCTGCCCATTCACGATGAAGTTAAAAAGGCTGTTTCTGCATGGACGACTTTTTGACTGAAGCTCAACACAGGGCAGTCAATCAGTACAGAGTTCATTTACATATTCACCAGTCTTTAAGACACAGTAACAAAAAACAGCCTGTTTAATTTCAAGGGAGGTTGGAAAACGGTCATGTCAAATTGAATTATGACTGTTTTTGGTACATAAACTCACAAAGGTCATAAGTTGACCCCAGGAAAAAAATATAAATTCAAGAAAAATGTAAGATATAGGCCCTTTAATGTGTTTGCAGTCTAATGTTGAAGGTTGCAGTGCATTATATACATCTCTTTTAGCAGGATTGTGTTAAACAACTCCCTTTATATTGGAATGTGGCAATTCAACAGCATTGATTTAGGAATATCAGAATCTATTATAAGCGATTAATAATATTCTATGAAGTACAGGCTCATTTTTTTTTCAACATAAAATTCTCGGGCTATTTTGAAATACAAAGGTCTCCCCAAAAAGGCCTTTATTGTATATATTCCACCACTGTGCAAATAATGTCTTCTGTCACATTGTGTATTCAATGTGTTTTTAAAACTAATTTTGAATCATAACAAATAATCAAACCAGATTTCGGTGAAAGCTAAGATTTAATAATGAATCGTTTCCTAAAGAATTGAATCATTGTGAGGTTCACAGGCTTGAGTCCCTGTGTTCACGTGGTTCTGCCTCTGTGAAAGACACACGGCTCACACCACCTCCCACAGCCCTGTAGCTGCCCTGCTGACCACAGCACAGATCTGGACATTATTAGTGCCACATGCTGCCACCACAGACCAGTGCATTGCCAGCCCACAGGTTTGCTTTCACAGGATGGGTGGAGCAGCCCTCAGAGACCCTAAGAGAGCAGAAATAAACACTTGGCCCCACAGAGTCCATGTGAATGTGTGTGCGCACATGTGCATGATAACTCAAAGTTACATATGCATCATTCAAACACAGTATATAGTTGCATTACGTACACACATATATGTATATATATATATATATATATATATATATATATATATATATATACATATATATAAAATAAATGCTATTGTAACCATATGTAATCACTGTTTCTGTCTCTCCTTCGTTCTCAGACCCTCTATGTCTTTTTCTTTCCTCCACCTTTTCATCTCCCTCTCTCTCCGCCTTCTCATTTCTATTAATATTAATCTCTAGTCACCTTCCATTCCACATCTAAAGCACTTCTACAGTAAAGCTGATCCCAGACCTGTTATAAGACAGTAGCAGTCCTAGTAGCACATGGTCTTCACCTGTGTCCCACTGACACACATAGGAGGGAGTAGTGAGTGACCAGTCCAGAGAAGGCTGCACTGCCCCCTACTGCTTGCACTACACTGCATGGTGTCTATAAAAAAGGAAAGGAGTTTGGATTTAGTGGTGAGCAATATGATGATGTCGCTGTTGTCGGATAAAAACCTTGTATCTCCAAAATTATGACTTTACAGAAGAAGCAAAAAACATACTTTATTTTTAATGTAAGTCAATGGAACCTGATTTTTTTCCAAATAAATTTTGGGTCATTTCTTTTGGTCCCCCTTTAGAATATCAACTGTACGTAGCATAATTAAGCCTGTTTAACATTGTACAATAAATTACTGTACTTTTTCATAAGTAAGTAAGTTTTCATAGCATTTTCAAATGTGCTACTGCTAGAGCGCTGTGCCTGTTGTAACTGACCAACACTCAGACAAAACTAAATATCATGATGCACATCATGTAGCATGAAAATGTCTTTGGTAATCGTGATGTTACATTTTTTGTGATATCACCCAGCCCAGCTTGGACTTTGCACTTACATTAGTTACCACTTGTGTTTGGTGTTGCCAGTGAACGATTACTGACGTCTCTCCCTGAACACAGTTAGAAAACAACTTTTGGCCTCATTAACCAGTTGTCACCCAGTCAGGGCCCTGAATTTAGGCCAGGACGCTCTTTGATTCCATATGAATATCAGTCGTAATGAAAAGCTTTTGTCACAGGTACAGCAAATCTTTCACTTGCAAGCAGTATTGCCTTTTGTTCGCAGAGCAACTGCTGTATGAAGTCAGCGTCTGCGCTCGATTTTGTCGTAAAATGTTGCATTTGATTTTGGCATTTTAAATGTATTACACTGTATAATTTTTGTCAAGTAGCCTCACAAAACATGCTAACATGGATAACAATAAATGGGAGCTTGTAGTCATGAATTAACTTAATTGCATAATCTCAGTTGGTCGATGTCTCAGGCCTCATACACTGTGCTTGCTACCGATCTATGTATTCGAACTCTGTGGGGGAGCTTTTAGAGGCATTTACGCTTCAGACGTCTGGTTCCTATCACCAAGGCTGTGAATTTTCTGACTCATTAACCTTCTTCAGAATGGAGCATTTCAAGGGGAACATTTTTTTTGTATAATTAAGTGGCTAATCTGCTTAATGGTTAATCTGAGACTGTAATTCTGCACCTGATTTTGTTGCAAAATGTTGCATTTGATTTTAGCATTTTAGATGTATTACACCACACATCAATCTGGCATAACATTATGACCACCTCCTTGTTTCTACGCTCATTGTCCATTTTATCAGCTCCACTTACTATATAGGTGCACTTTGTAGTTCTACAGTTACAGACTGTAGTCCATCTGTTTCTCTGCATACTTTGTTAGCCCCCTTTTACCCTGTTCTTCAGTGGTCAGGACCCCCATGGACCCTCACAGAGCAGGTACTATTTGGGTGGTGGATCATTCTCAGCACTGCAGTAACACTGACTGTGCTGGTACAAGTGGATCAGACACAGCAGTGCTGCTGGAGTTTTTAAACACTGTGTCCACTCACTGTCCACTCTATTAGACACTCCTACCTTGTCGGTCCACCTTGTAGACGATAGCTCATCTGCTGCTGCACAGTTTGTGGACCTCTAGTCCTTCATCAGTGGTCACAGGACACTGTTCGCCGGATATTTTTGGTTGGTGGACTATTCTCAGACCAGCAGTGACACTGATCCACTCAGACCAGCGCAACACACACTAACACACCACCACCACATCAGTGTTACTGCAGTGCTGAGAATGATCCACCACCCAAATAGTACCTGCTCTGTGAGGGTCCATGGGGGTCCTGACCACTGAAGAACAGGGTAAAAGGGGGCTAACAAAGTATGCAGAGAAACAGATGGACTACAGTCTGTAACTGTAGAACTACAAAGTGCACCTATATAGTAAGTGGAGCTGATAAAATGGACAATGAGAAACAAGGAGTTGGTCATAATGTTATGCCTGATCAGTGTATTTTCCTTATAGACCATATGATTTTTGTCAAGTAGCATGGACAACAATAAATGGGAGCAGGTAGTCACAAATTAACGTGAACCATTTTGCATAATCTTAATTGGTCGTTATTCACGTACATTCACTGCTCATTTTTTTCCCTGAACTATTCCTTTAATGTTTTATATAAATACTCTGACACGTATTTCTATTGAATGCATTTGTATTAGAATATTGGAAATTGTATCCATTTTTAGACAGATAATATCCACTCACATACAGTATATAAAACCAGACTGCGGGGTCAGTTCAGAGCAGGGAGACACTGCTTTCAGCAGCTTGGTAGGTCACCTTATCCTCTGGACAACAACGAACACTGTAGCTTCTGAAAGAGGCTTCTGTCCATGCGAGTGATGTCACACATTTAGAGGGGAGTCCTCTTATTCAGTGACTCTGCAGGAAGGTGAACAATGCCAGCTTTTGAAGCAGCAAGCGTGGGTCTCTCTTTCTCATCTATTCATCCTGAATGCTGGTGATGCTCATGTTGTTCTGACTGTGTGTCATTTAGCATTGGAGTGAGCAACGTGTCTCTCTTTCTCTCCTTCTCGGATGGACAGATTTACACAGACTGGGCGAACCACTACTTGGCCAAGTCAGGTCATAAGCGGTTAATAAGGGACCTCCAGCAGGACGTAGCGGATGGGGTGCTGCTGGCCGAGATCATCCAGGTCGTAGGTAAAGTAGAAACTCACTAGAGCTGCACATCATTGAATAGTTGATCTTTGCAGTAGTCACATCGCCATGACTTGCAATATGCAAATCTCTAATGGTCAGATTGGTGGAAATGGATTAAGCTTAATCGTGGGGTAAACCACAATGCCAGTGGTGTTTAATAAAAATCTCATTTAGTTTAAGTTAAGGATTATTCTGGGTCTGGGAAACTGTTACTAAATGTTTGACTCTGTGCTGTGAGCATTCTGACCAACTCTTTCTGTGGGTGTTTCTATGATTCAAGGTATTCACATCATCTATGAAACATAAATAATTTTGGCCAAAATAATGCAGGCTAATCTTTAACCATGTCACAGTAATGTGTCACCCACATGGTTTTAATATATTGCAAGGCATATCACAATTATATGCATCAATATAATCACACTGTTACAGCCCTGCCTCTCACTATCACTACATAGGATTATGTAACCTGCTTATCTGAGATGTAGTAACCTGGGCTTTTGTTATAATACAGGATTGAGGACATACTGTTCCAAAAATGTTTTACAATGTGTTAAAAAGTCACTTAAGTGTGAATAATATGGACACTATGTACAGCAAAATCTCTAGTGTTGAATTAATACCTACTGAGGGCTCGATTTGAGGGAGAATGCAAGGAAATACCATTTATCATTTTTAAAATGCCCAACTTTTTGGAATGATTCATTATAACACTCAGACTAAATGAGATTGAGATGTATACAAAGTTAGTCAGAGGAGTTTGATGTGAAAACTGTAGAGAAATTGTAGAGAAACTAATTGGCAGGGCTGGGCAATATGACAACATATATCGTTATCATGATAAATTATGTCACAATAAAATACAACATGATTTTCTGTACATTTTGTGTGTATTGTCAGTACTGTCCAACTGCAGGTTTCATTATAAAGAGAGCAAAATTAGTCCTGTTTACCTGGATATAGTGCAACACTATGTGAAATATTGAATAAAAATTGTTATATTTAGAATTATTACAATATTAGATTTTTGCCATACCCTTTTGCCCACCTGTACTTAGCAGCTTTATGTACAGTGGTTGGGATAGAAACCAGGCGTCACAGTGTCTACAACACAAATATAGACATTTTATTTGAAATCCAAAACAACCAGTGAACCTACACACATCTTTGTGTGTAATGTTTTATATGCAATGTTAGTAATGGTAAAATAATGGTAAATCTGGAAAAGTGAGTTTTATTTGGGGATTACTTTTAAAAGAATAACTTTTAGGCCAAAACCTTATATCAAAACTATAATAAAAGATTGTATTTGCTACCAATTTGTGTATTAGATTTCTGTAAGGGAGCGTTTAGAGGCGTTTACGCTTCAGACGTCTGGTTCCTATCACTGAGGCTGACTCGTTAACTTTCTCTAGAAAGGAGCATCTAAAGGGAAACTCCACCACTTTTTCAGAATTTCTGAATAATTAAATGGTTAATCTGGTTAATGGTTAATCTGAGACTGTAACTCTCTACAACGAGCCAATTTACATCAAACCATTCTGAATGACTTTGTTTACATCGAAAAAAAAAGAAAAATCGATGGAGTTCCCCTTTAACATCAAACCACTCTGAATGACTGTTAACATCTTAACGATGTAATTGTTAAGAGTATGTGTATACTGGGTGGAATTCCCCTTTAAATTGGTGATTAATCAACGAATCAGTCGCACATTTCAAATTCACAATTCAACGAAAACGTAGTTTAACGGATCAGCCGGAGTCAATGGTCAGTTCAACCTAGCTGAGGAAACCAGTTTCGTTCTTCGTTTTTCTTCTCACAGTTAATGTCCTGAAACGCCAGACTAATAATAATGAGTCATTATGAAGCTGCTAAAGCTGATAACTTAACGTTATGTTAATTTATCGCGAGCTAGCGTCACTCTCTGAGGTAGCGTTAGCTAGCTAAGCTAACGTTAACGTAAGAGCACCGTATTCCGTACAGTATTTCGGCATTTTTCGCGTTTTAGTAGTTATTGCGGAAATACCCGAAGTCATACACGATTTAATGATTGCTTGGACTCTGCCTAGCAACCAATATGCACTTTGATTGGTCACATTTTGGCCAATACTTTTAAAGAAATAATAAAAAACGTCATCGGTGTCAACGGTTTGTACCGTCGGTACTCCGTACACCAGCTTCCCCAGAGGGAGCGGTTTTCCGTACAGTGTTTTCCCTGCATTTTATTTGAAGTTTTATGTAATCTAATTACATAAAAATAGACATTAACTGATTATACTGATTATAAAATTGAATTATTATAAACAATATGTGCAGTGAATGAGCCTACCATGGAAAGAAACCCAGTAAAGTGAGGCAGTGCTGTGAAGCTGCGCAGCTGAAAGGAGTCTACTAAGGTCTCTCAGCTGACGGTGTAAACTTAGATTAACAACTCAGTACTAAACACACTGTGTTTCATGGTGATGATCCATTGTTTAATATTCGTTTTAGTGTTAAATATGATGTTTAAACGTGCTAAAATGCATTTTAACTGGCCGTGAAAGTTTTCCCCACCCCTTTCACATTCGCATCCCTGGGTTTCCCCACCCGCCCTGTTCGTGTGGCGCTGGGGGGTCGGTCACTATTTGCATAGATTTGATGTCCAAACCCAGCTTAGATGGTCTTGCCAACCGATTTAATGGGGAAAAAGGATATATGATAATGTCTCAGATGCATCTTTGACAAATGTCAAGAAAGTGGTTTTTATTACACAGACATAAATGTTTGCAAGTGTCCGGAATACTGAAGTGTACGGGATACTGTGCTCCTACGTTACTTTCTCGTGAATTTAACCGACCGGGCTCCATAATGAACTTGGTTAAGCTGACAGTACGTTTTTTTGTCATTTATGAAACAGCGATCTCACATTAATTCGACTTGTAAATTGATTATAATTTATCGTCATATCGCAGCTAGCAAGCTGGCTAACCTAACCTAAAGCTAGCTAGCTAAGTTAGCGTTAGCTTGGGTCGGGTGTTGTCTTCTGTGTTTCAATGGTAACGTTAAGGAAACTGGCTGATGAGGGCGCCTACATTGTTTGGAGGGGACAACCACTTTTCTTTAGTTAAGGCCATTTTTACCAAGATGAACACTCTGCCCGTTTTCGGGCACGCGCCTCTAAACTCAACAGGGGTCCGCTAATAGATCATGGGTTTCGGTTAGAGATGAAGAGTCGATTCCGAAAGAGTCGATTCTTTGGCTCCAGTACGCCTGTTTGTGTGGGCCGACTCTTGGCCAGTGACTCGAAGAGTCGAAATGTTTGGAGTCGACTCTTCAACTCTGCCGACTCTGTGTTTTTCGTCTCGAAGGACATTTGTTGAAATATTAATCAGCCGTAATCAAAGCTATCTGATATTACTTGGTATAATCTACGAATTATCATCATATCAGTGTAATCTGTATAGCTACTAAAAAATGGGTAATCCCTTTAACACCGGCGCTGTCTTGGTTTTGAATTAAGTGGAGTCGAGGAGTCCAGAAAACCCGGTCATGCACCACTGGTTTCGGTCCGTTTCAAAGTGAACCCTGGTTCAGTTTGCTGCTGGTTGCAACGCATTTTTACATTGGTCCGCACCAAACGAGGCGAATTGTACGTCAGAGCACGACATTCTCTGTTTTAACCATTGAATATTGATACACGCTCCTATATCGTTCTTGCAGTACGAGTTGCTCCTAAAAACGGCAGGCAAGCAATAAAATAATGCCAGCGCGTTGCATTTGATTTTTGTCTCGGAATGTGTTTATGGACAGGCGTTAGAGACAAACACAGACCGATAAACCACTGAATCATAAAGAGGCAGATCAAACAGGGTTTATTTTTTATATTGCTTTGATTGTAAATCGCTCATGTTAAGCGTCTCTAATTTAATGCAAAGTAGGGACAGGCAGGATTGACAGATTGTGGCTATAGTTTCCAGTCCAAAAAAAATAAAAAAATCCTGCCAAAATGCATGAAAAACCGCCTAAAAGATGCACATTAAAACAGTCTAAGGTCATTTTAACCTTAACAATAATATAACATTATAATATTTATATATAACATAATGACACAATGAAATATTTAAGATAATATAATATTTAATCATATATAATAATACACAGTTTAACCATTACATCAATATAAGCTTCTGATGTCTTGCCTTCGATCATTTGCAGTTGTCACTAGAGGGCACTGTCGGTCTTTTAAATGCGTTTATTTTATCAGCGTTACGAACACAAAAAAAGCTTTTTATGTATTTTTGTGTCCCTTGTCAAACATCTCAGAAATGCCTACACAAAGAAATCATTAATAATTCAGATAAAGTGAACAAATTATTTGTGTGTGCATCTTATTTCCATAACTTCCAGAGCTCAAACAAATACTTGGCAGAGTATTAACGTTTTAAATGTGTATGACAGAAACCTTGATCCCATGCAATCAGAAAGGCAAGTAAATGGCAATAATATTGCAAGCATGACTGTTCTTCATACACTTGTTTAAAACCTGCTTACCTCTGTAGGCGAACAGATCACAGGCCATTTCAGTTTTCCAGAACTAGGTACAGTCAGTAATGTTACGTGAACTGGTCAGTGAATCTATTCCTTGTTACGCCTGTACTTACATACATCAGTAATTTACTGGGCACATTACCAGCTGATGTCATTTGCAAACTATCCATGTATGGCAATCAAAGTTTTGATAACTGACTGGATGTGGGGAGAAGTTAGGCCTATTCAGATTTCAGCTTCATTAAGGGATGCAGTTTATTATTTTACATAATTTTTAAAACACTTAAACAATATAACAACAACCAGCCCACATTAGTCCACCTGCCATAGCACCTTTTCCAAATCCAACCAAAATCAACACAAATTGGCAGGAGCCTGCCCAAACTGGCAACACTGGGGGCAGGATAATGCATTTATATTAAGAATATAATATATGTGAGGGATAGATCTGTGTTTTATACAGTTGTAGGCTATTGGAAGTTAAAAATGGTCATTAATGTGAAAGTAACAGAGAGCTTGTATTCCAGCCAAATTTCTGACCAGTCAAGCCTAATTTGCTGTCAGAGACTGAGAATTAAAGGACTGGTACTTTCACTGTACCGCAAACATAGTTGATCAGTCAAGATGTGCTTGGTGCCTTAAGTTTGCTTCTTTTGTTTCATCAATGTGCAAGAAAAAACAAGTTTAAATTTAAATATTTTTATTTATTTATTTATTGTTCATTTACTTGTTTACTTACTTACTTACTCACTCTTAACTTTTTGTGCCCCTTTCAAGCCAATGAGAAGATTGCCGACATCAACGGGTACCCCGAAAGCCGTTCTCAGATGGTAAGCCCTTGATTTGTTTGTTTTGGATCATTACTGTGTTTAACCTCGGGGGATGTAGACCTCAGGGGACACCAAAACTCCTCGTCTCTCCACACTCTGGGATTAGCCCCAAAGGCATGTCTCCCACCCACACAGAACACGAGACCAACAAATCATTTTAAACCTGACCTTAAAAGCTTTAGCCTTACAAAAGCACAGAGGCATCTGTGTTCCCATCCAGTGGTCCAGCACTGTCAGTGGAAGAAGGACTTTGTGTGGTAATGTTGCACACTAAGGTCCAAACCCATGTCTTATTTTTACCCCTACCCCTTGTTTTCAGGTGTCTCCTTGCCCCTTGGAACTGAGTTACAGGAGGTAGTGGTTGAATTCTTCCCCTATGAAATGGGACCCTCAAATAAAAAAGCACATTACTTCATTAACAGCTACTAGTGCTGCTCTGTAGGCAACCCTGCCAGTCTGCAGTGATAGCAGAGGAGGGTAAAGTTCAGCTCCTTACTACTGGGCTTTAGTTACATTTAGGGAATCAAATGCCTTCAATGCCCACCCCTAACTCATCCGTGATATGAAGCTGAAGTCAGATATTCGCCAGCTTCTTGTTCAAATTTTCCCGTTTCACCTTAAATGAAGCAGCAGTTACAATCTGGTGTCTGAGGCGTCAGAACTGCTGCACCATTTAAGGTGGAACGGGAAAGTTAGCTTGCTACCGAGACATTAGTATACTAATAGTGATTTTTTAAGCTTGTTATGAAGGAAAAGACCATAATACATTGAAATTACATTAAACTTGGATAATACAATGGTTATCATAATCGTACTGCCTCACAGTAGAACATGCCTACAAGAGTGTTGAAACGAGAGCTGTCCCATTGACAGGCAATCTGTCATGGCCCTGGCATAAGCTTTAAACTGGGAGTAACAGTACATTACAGACACATGCAGGTTGGTTTACCAAGCTAACAGAGGTGTTTGTGAGTGATCTTGCTGTAAATCATCTGCTTAATGGGGAATTCCACCAATTTTGTAAAAATGTCTGCATAGCTCATTCACTAGTTCAGAAACTTGACAAGTAACAGTTGTTATGTAAATCAGACGTATGAAACACAGAATGTTTCTAAAAGCTACATCACAGAAAGGTATCACACAAAATGATTATGAACAATTGTCCTACATAGCTTTGTACATGTGTCACCAACAGCAAAAATGATCAGTCTCACATCAACCCTGCAGTCTTGGGATTTTTTTCCTCATCTTTCTGTCTGACCACCAAAGCCAGAAAAACACTGTGGCCAGATGTCAGCTGATTAAGTGAAGTGAGTAAGTGATAGATCAGGGAAAAAACATGCTGGACTGGATTTCCTCCATGTATTTTTGCAGCACGGTACAACACAATTCACTACTATGTTCAAAACTACTAACCAGGGATAAGAAGTACCTGCAGGGTGTTGTGAGGAAAAATAAAATACATTATTAAATGGGTATATTTGTGTTGTAGGTATGACAGCCCCTGGTTCCTGTCACGGCCACTGTTAAGAAATCCGTGTCAGTAATGTTCAAACTGCTCTGAATATGTGTTACAGATCGAGAACATAGATGCCTGCCTTGGCTTTTTGGCAGCTAAGGGAGTGAATATAAAGGGGCTCTGTGCTGAAGGTAAGTATGTGTGTGTGTGTGTGTGTGTGTGTGTGTGTGTGTGTGTCTGTAGGTGGGTGGGTGGGTACGTGTGGAGTCCACAGACGGGAAATTGAGTTTCCAAACAGTTTTTATAATTAAGAGCTACAACACACTACTTATACTGCTTACTTTTACCACCATGCAGGCTTGCATACAAGAATAGAATAGATTCCTTCTTTATGATAAATTTATATTAATAGCTCAGACATATTTGAAGATACAGAAGCCAAGTCTACCTAACCCCTCTTGCTGTTTGTTTACTCTGTTTGTTTACTCCCAGAGATCCGCAGTGGCAATCTGAAGGCCATTCTGGGCCTGTTCTTCAGCCTGTCACGTTACAAACAACAACAACAGCAACAAAAACAACAGCAGCAACAGCAGGACACATTGAAGCAGGCCAACTACGACACCCAGAGTGACCAGCACACCCAAACCCTGCAGAGCCCGAGCCCTGCCCAGCACTGCCCCATCCACAGCCAGCAGCAGCAAACCCTCAGCGCTCCACTGCCCAACACTCAGGGGGACATGCAGTCCAGGTGTGGAGTTTATCGCACCACACAGCACTAGTGTATTTCTCATTTTCGGCTCATGGTTCTGGAAAGAGAAACAGTGTTACCCGTGACATTTTTGGTGTCTGAAGTTTGCTTCTTTAGTTTTGCACAGGAGCTGTGAGGCTAATGCGACTAACAAGCTGATGGAAGCTCATAGCTGTTTTAGTAAATAACATTCTGTAGATATTTCTTACAGATACAGTGTCAGAAACCAAGTAAGTAAGTCTATTTGAGATTATTTAGCAGCTCAATGTGGTTTAAGGCAAGTCTGTGATAATTAAAGGCCTCAGCATGCTTCTTACAAAGACAACATTCGCCTGGCTTTAGCGGACAATGTGACGTAATAGTGGAGAAAACGAACAACCGCAGACGTCGCGCGGAGGCTTCATTCGCCGTGTTGTGCACATGGCACCTGGGTGAACTCCGTGGACAAAGACGCTACGCGACTGATTGGTCGGTAAAAAAAGAGGCGTGCCATGAAACAAAGATGGACAACTTTGAGGAGCTTTAGCAGACACACTAATATTTCACTGTGAAAGGCACATTTGTTAAATAAACAATGAATATGACCTAAATGTAAGATGTTAAGTCTGTTTTTCGGCAGCACTAACTAGTACTGAGCACCAAAACATACAAGTTATCTTATATTTAGGTTCACACAAATTTTCCCACTCCACCTTAAATGGTGGCAGTATTCTAAACTCAAACATCGTCATAGTTAGAACTGGGAAAGAATCGTTTTCCAGCAATCATGAAAATGGGGAGCATCCACAACAGGCAACAGGGGCTTCGCACAACCCTCAAGAATTTCGTTTCACAAGTAGTATGCTGAGGCCTTTAGGCTTGCAGTTAGCACCATGCTAATTGGTAAGAACCTTCTGTTACTTGTTTGCTAATTTAGCCTCATAGGTTCAGTGCAAAGCTAAGGAAGCAGACTTCAGACATCAAACATGTCTTGGCTTGAGTTTAACTTTGGCAGCATGAATTTCACTGTTTGTCATTAGATAGTAGATAAGAAGTAGGCAGTGACGCAGACGCAGAGCAGCTTGTTTTGCTATTTAGTGCACACTCATTAACCTGTTCAGCTAAGTATCCAGGTTTCCATGAGTGAGTAAGTGAATTCACAGAGTTTGTAATATTGAGAAATTCTTATCACTGTTTTTTTATGTATATATATGTATTATAGCTATATTTTACATCAGAAGAAATGGAAACAAAACATACTGCAAATACAGTGACTCATGATCTGTGGCAGGCACCATATATTTACCATATAATATTATCATTGTTTTTTTGTGCGATAAGATAGGTATGTTTTAATTTCTGTATTAGTCAGCCAGCACCTGCTGCCGTGCTTCACAGCTACAGCCAGACATGAAACAGACATTTTCAGTATTTATTCCTCAGCATTTCTGTTGTAATTTATTGCATTCCTTTTTTTACCAGCTCAAGCAAGCATACAAACATTTATGCAGAGTTCTGTTCAATATTTGTCATTTCCTTCAAAGCCTTTTTATTTGAAATGCCACAATTGATGGAAAACTAGCGTGTGACTGCTTCCAATTCCAGGAAGAGACGTTAGCTGTGCCTTTTTCTGCCTCATTATCTCTTCTTTTCTCTTTTTTGTCACTTTTGTCCTCGCTTTGTGGACAAATCTGCAGCTCAGTAAGAAAGTAAAGAGCCATTTAAATCAGCTCTAGGGCTTGCTCTGTGCTGCAGTACTGCTTCTTCTTTCTTTTCTTACCATTGTACTGCACTGATCTTGTTTTTCTCTCCCCTTTCTTTTCCCCATTCTTCCATCTTTCCATCTCTGCTCTGTGTCACAGTCTTCCATCCAGAGGCTCATCTCAGAGCAAAGGTCTCAAGCTGTCTGTTGCTAAGAAAAAGTCTACTAGGTCAGCTCTCATACACTGCTCTGATAGTGCACTGCCACATAATGCATGACTGCCTGCCTTTTAGCTTATGTGCACAGATATTGTGTGTAAACATGAAGACTGTGTGTGTGTGTTTGTGAAGAGATGCATGGAAATTCTAGCCACAGAAATGGTCAAAAAATAGCCTGAAAACTTTGACTAGGAAAAAAAAAAAAACACAGAGATGAACTAGGCCTGTAAACAAACGTCTGCACAGATGCACTCACACAGTTGTAGCTGCAGACACTAAAAGAGCAATTTATAATCTTTCAAGCTGAGCACCAAGAGGGGATACAACGTCCAAAAACGTTTCATACCACTTGAAAACACTTGAAATCTTATTCAATATGCAGAATATTGCAAGCAAAAGCAGAAAGTCCCTGCTAGCATGCCAATGCCATCTGTAGTCGTAAGTATAAAGACTAAAAATAATGGACTTAATGGAATTCATTGCCTTGCTTGAACTTCCATTTTCTGTTGTTGAGGACGTTGGATTTTGGGGCACATATAGACTACATACCATAATAATTTTAGTAAGTTTATTTTATGTAAACTGTTTTTAACTTATTTGTTGTCAGCTTTTTTGGTTTCAGTTTCACTAGTTGGGAGTGAAAAAATGCACTGATGCATCATGACTCGTTTGTCTGAATTAGTCTGGAATTCAACAGTATTTTGTGATGTTACAATTGACTGTAATCATAATAATAAGTGGTGTATAGATTATACTGTCTGTGTTCCCCTTACACCCCTTGTGGATGTGTGTGTGTGTGTGTGTGTGCGTGTGTGTGTCTGTGTGTATCTCTGGATGTTTGGACATTTAGTGACAGTTGTCCGGGGGCACTTTTAGATACATGCTCCCTCTAGTGGCGATATCTTGTTACTGACTTCAGGGGCTCCAGAGAAGCATGTGAAACTCTTTAAATGGATGTTTTATTTTTGTTCATATGAACAGATGTGGACAGTAAGATAAAAAAGGCCAGTGCAGTTCTTTTATATAGTTAGTAAACTGGTCTTATTTCAGTATAGAGGATTATCTGTAGCTGCTCTGAGAGGTTGTGTTATGTGTGAGAGGAGAAGAATTATAAGTGTAGCCCTAAATGTAATTCTCTCTCTCTCTCTTTTTCTCTCTCCGTCACTGACACCTTTATTTTTACTTTTTCTTTCTGTCACTGTCTCTTTCTGTCTCTCATTTTCTCCCTCGTCACCCTCTCTTTCTGTCACTGTCTTTCTCTCTGTTATTCTTCCTTGTCTCCCTCCCTCCCTCTCTCTCCATCTCTTTTTCTCTCTCTGTCACTGTCACTCTTTTTATTTTTACTTGTTCTCTCTGTGGCTGTCTCTTCTGTCTCTCTGTTATTCTTGCTTCTCTCACTGCCTCCCTCTCTCTCCCACTCTCTTTTTTCTCTTTCCCTCTTCCTCACGTTCTCTTAGGCTGCCAGGTCCGTCAGTCCGTGCAGGAGGAACAGGCACTGAAGCCAAGTTACGGAAGTCCAGCAGCAGCAGCAGACGCAGCCAGAGCTTTAACCACTGTGACAAAACCAAAACAGCAGCACCAGCCTGCTCTCAGCACACAGGTACACTGGAACACACACACACACACACACACACACACACACACACACACACATACACATACAGCCTTAGAGTTATTACTATCAATTATTTCTGTAATCAATGGATCTGTTGACTTTTATTAGATTCATTGACCTGTTTCCCATCTTCTGATCTTACTTCTGATCCTACTGCTGTTTTCACTCTCTTTGCCTCATCACACTGCCACCACCATTCAAAGTTAGGTCTGCATTATAAGCACTTACCTCTTTTATGGTGCAACAAATCAGTAGAAGCCACATCAACCCCCTGCAGTTCATGTAGTGTATTACAATCTTAAGGTCATTGCACACTAAGTGTGATGTGAATAAATGACATGAAATGCGAAATATTCAGACACGATGTGTTTTTTCTGCAATTTTTGCATCAAAACTACACACACTGTGTTTGTTCACAGCGAAGAGAAAACAAATGCACAGAATGTCCCCAAGTGACAACAAAAGGTGCAAACTGTGACACTGGCTACTTTCCACATTGTAAAAGTGAAAGAAGCACGGAGAGTCACACTGCTTTATTCAGGAGATAGAACTTTAAAACTCCTTACCTACCGCCAGCGGACCCAAAGTTTTATTACACACTTATATAACCTAAGAAAAGCTCCGTTAGTTTGCATTGAACTCCCTGTAGTTAACGAATAATAAGCCTTAGTATGTAATAAGCCTGGAATGTTAAGGTGTAAATCGATAGCTTGGATGTCTGTGAACCACTCTGAGCAGCTTTTGGAGATATGATGAAGCACACATGACAAAGCAGAAACTGTCCTAATCCTTTTGACATTTGTCAGAAAGTTCTAGTTGCTGGGACACAGCTGACCAGACATCTTGGTTGTTGCCATGTCAGCTGCCAGAGGCAGCAGTGATTGAGTGAGTTCATGTTGCCATTGTAGTCTAAAAAATAGCGTTTCGGGTGCAAGATATCATCAGTTATGCTTGTCTTTGAGTTCATTTACTCACAAATCATACAAATAAATCATGCTTGGTGTGCGAAGGCCTTTACTCCGTGCCTTTTACCCAGTGGAACATCTGTGCAGTGTTTTCTTTGCTCAGGCTGCAGCCCTGACCTGTTGATGTTTAGATGGAGATAGATTATGTGTGAATGAATAATGATTGCACACAGATTGGATATCAGCATTACAATCTACTTTTGTTTTCTTTGCTCTGCTGTGTATTAGAAAAATGTCATTGGGTGATTATGTGTGTCTGTATGTAGCTGGTTTGATGGAACAGCTGTATGCAGTGAGGATGTAATATATCTATAGTAACTGTATTCAAGATACAAGAGTTTACTGTCATACGCACAGAGGAACAGACAGTTGCACTGTACAGTCAAATTCTTACTCTGCACTACTGGGCTACAAGGCACTACTGGGCTACAAGGTACTATACAAACGCTATATAAATACTAAATATTAAGTGTAAGAAAGCACAAAAAATAGAAGAACAGCAGGAGAACATACATAATTTAAAATATGTGCGTATATATATATATATATATATAACTCTTTACAGGAGAAGGAAAAAACCTACTTTACTTTTAATGTATGTCAATGGAACCAGAATTTTTTCCAAGTGATTTTGGGTCATTTCTTTTAGTCCATCCATCATGAGATTTACACACAATGTAAATGTAGTGTACATATGCAGTATTAAAAATATCCAAACCTGGCACATAGAAAGTGACATATTGAAATAGCCAGTGTATTCAGGTGTGTATTTGTGCGGCTGTGCAATCTGTGTAGTTGTGCTGTGTATTGCGAAGCAGCTGCTGTTGAGCTGCACATAGCTGTGTTTGAAAGTCTATAATGTTCTAGCAGCCACATCACAGGTCAGATGCTTATGTCAGTGGAGTATGAGGTGTTACGGTGGCTGGTCCTGATGAAGAAACTGTTAGAAACTGTTCTGAAATCTGGTGGTCCTTGATTTCACACTCCTGTATTTACTGCCAGATGAGAGACGTGTGATGAGTTTGTGTTGAGGCTGGGTTTTGTCTTCGTTTACCTTGTGGGTCTTCCTGAGGACCCTGGAGTGGTAGATGTCCTCTGTTGGTGAGAGGGCCATAAATGAACCTGTGTGCATGTCTGTCTGTGAGCAGGCATATCTCATCTGCGGTATGCTGGTTGTGTTATGCACACATTCTCTGTTCTTTGATTTGGCTTTAATTAAAGAGAGAAAAAGAGAGTGAGGAAAAAGGAGCAGGGAGAAAGAAAACTAGAGAGTGGTAATGAGACTGCAGTAGTTAGTCAGCATATAATGTGGGGGCACAGAGAGGGAGAGAGAGAGAGAGAGAGAGAGAGAGAGATAAAAGTGCATTCATCCTCACTTACCCATCTACAATAGAAGAACAGAATGGAGCTATAATTCAGTTGGGAACCCAGCACAGCTTTCAGAATTGGATCAAACACCATCAGCCGAGTCACCCAGACAAACATCAACACAGTAAGTTTCCTTTAAACTACAGCGCATGGACAGGACGGTAACCGGTTTTAATGATGTACTGAGGTATAAAACTCATACTGTTCCAAATTTTAATAACTCTTCTAACCATCTTTTTAAAAAGTCAGTGTGGAATAAATAACCTGCTGCTTCCCATGAAGCACAAACTACGACAACACATGCTTACAGAGTTATAATCTAGACAGTAAAAAGTAGTAATACTAGCGATAATGTAATCTATTTAAACTTCAGCTGATTTTTGGTGTATTTGGTGTAAGAGGTTCAAACATTCCATCAGTATAATAGCAGTTGTGAAATTATTTCAACATAAACTGGAGATTTTCAAACATTTTTAGTAAATTATAACAATATTGTGAACATATTGCGAACTTGGATCATAATTTCAGTCACTGATATCATGATAGAAATGTTTTACATCATCCTATCTCTATGACAGTGTGTAGACTGGACAGTAGTGACATCAGATAAACTATTGACTGCTGTTGTTACACGTCACAGCGGGTCAGACGCAGGGATGATTGATTTTCCACTGCAGAATAAACGGATCTAGTGTATTGGAGATGAGAGAGACAAGGGGAGCGCTAGCCACAGTCAACATGACAGACCTCCACAGGTAACACTTGACTTTTGTTAGCCTGCAAAAAGTGCCTCCAGAGCCATGTGGTGGACTTAGTTGGGATTATAACCTCGTTTTCCATAGTATTTTGAGTTTATTTATACTTGGCTTTGTGGCTATCTAAGCATTTAAACCCTAAGAATCTGTTTGTGAATTCTCACTATCACACTTTCTAAATACTCTAACTTCATAGTAATTAAGAGATTAATAACTGAATAATAACCTCAGACAAACATCTTCTACTATTTGTTCCATATGAACTATTGTTGTTTATCTGTTTGTTTTGTATTTTATATATTTATTGCATGTTATGTGCTTATTATGCCCTTTGACTTTGTGTGAGCATGGAGAAGAGCAAATTACATCCTTGGTTCATAAACAGTTTAATCTTAATTTCCTGTTAACCCATTAAACTCTAAGGCTGTGGACCCACACCTTAGTTCCTCACTGTCATACTGTCAACTACATAAATTACACATCAGTTTCAGTAGTTACTGAATAATTTATGGTGGTTACTGAATAGTGAATCTAAAGATTAATAACTGGATCACAGGTCTAGGGTTCAAGGGTTTAACTCTTTGTCACAAGCCTTGGTGTAAAATATCAGAGACTGTGGCTTTAGAGGGTGTACTTGTCTAGGTCAGTGTGAGATTTAGTGGACACCACAGGCTGCAGCTTGGAGTGGACAGTATTAATGTGTTTGGGACTTATTCACTTGGACGTTTTATCTGTCTTTCTGCACACCAAGAACAGGTCTGTTCAGCTTCTTGACACTCATTCTTCTCGCAGTGTATTTTATTTAGTATGCCTAGCTGAGGTCAGCTGTTCTTTTCCTGTGGGAGTTTACAGATTGGCCTGCGCACTGTGACTCAGCTTCCCACTGTATACTTCATTATTTTGAATGTTCACACTAAAAGCTCAGGATGAAGGCCTGGGATTACTGTCTGGACATACAGTATTTTCTACCAGAAGATATTCTAAGAAAAGCCCTATAATAGTTTCAGTATTTACCCATATAGCAATTTCATTATTCAGTAAATGATTGGTTTTTATACAACAGTTAGTTCCGGCCATGCGAGCTGATTGGTTGAGAGATGTTCTAACCGTACTGTTATTTCACCATAACATCATGGTTTTCTCACAAACACTGTATCACTCCGCTGAGATGCCGTTGCTAAGTAACGACTTTGACAGCTGTAGGAGACGCTCAAACCATTTAAACGTTTTTACTTCTTACTTTTGCAGAAAACGGACACTTTTAAGATCACATTTGACCGACAGCCGATTTGGTCCGACTCTGAAGATGAATTCCCAAACTGTCGTCACCACTGAGCAGCTTTTCAGTCGGCAGCTGTGACAGAAGAACAGCTAAACAACCTGGAATTAGCCAGAAATGATCCGAATACCATTTGCCAAACAAAATGAGCTGTAAGATGCTTTACAGACTGGCTGGAACAAAACAACATTAATACTGATCTAGCAAAAATTGACAAAACTGAGCTGAACTTGATATTGCAGCAGTTTTATGGCTCAGTCTGATTTGGTCAGACTCTGAAGATCAGACTGCACATTTGGCAAATGGTATTTGGTTAATTTCTGGCTGATTCCAGGTTGTTTAGCTGTTCTTCTGTCACAGCTGCCGACAGAAAAGCTGCTCAGTGGTGATGACAGTTTGGGAATTTAGTGTAAGGAGCTGGAGAACGAACTGTCGGCTGTGCAGCGAGTGGGCGGAGTTCGTTACTCTGACGTAGCAACAAGCTGCTTGTTAAGGAGCTATAATTTGGCGGAAGGAACTGCAAACATTAAAACATATTAAACGCCGCGTTCACGTCCCAGTTTATTAATTTCTTACTTTATTTATTTAACTGTTGTATAAAAGCAATAGAACAAGTGATTAAGAGAGTAAGTGATTTTTCTAGCTTGAATATACAGTACTGTGCATTATTTAACATTAATTAATTAACGTTTTCGTAAATGTTGCTGTAAGTCAGTGAAAGGCAGTGCATGTTTCCTTCTATTCCTTCATCCTAAATATCACACTTAAAAAAGAAGGTTCTTCAAGGGGTCTTTGCATCATGAAAGCGTTCTTCAGATTGATAAAGATTGAGCTGTAGGTGGATCTATATAGAACCTTTTTTAAAAACGGTTCTTCTATTCTATCTACCATAGAAGAATAAAAGCTTTCTGGTGCTATATAGAGCCCTTTTCATAAAGGTTCTATATAGAGCCATATACGACACATTCTCCATCAATTTGAAGAAGAACCATTTATTGATGCAAAGAACCCTTTAACCATGCAAGAAGTTCTTTGAGTGTTCATGGATCCCTTGAAGGACCATCTTCTTTAAGAGTGTAGTTCTTTCTTCAGTGGATGTGCTAGTTTAATGCTTTCCTACTTCAGTGTTCTCACCTTCTCCTGAATTTGTTAAGTGTTGAAGGTATCGACATCCAAAACCAAAACCCTGAATGTGTCTTTAAACCTTTCACATTTTTGACTTTCAGCAAAGAGCAGCTTACGTGCTCTTATTAACATCTGAAAGAGGGCATTTGACCCACTTTCTCTGTGTGAGAATGGGCATTTGGCTTCTATACAGTAGTTGGCAAAGTGCCTTTTACAGTAAGCCAGTGTTCAAATGCGAGCTTTTAGCATTCCTTTCCAGCCCGTTTTTGTCAAACAGTCAATTTTGAATTTCACGGTTTCTCTGCAGATCTGACAAATATGAACTGTAACTGTACTGGAAAAGTCTGTAGGTTAAAAGAGGTGAATCTTAAACTTCATTGGATAAATGTTCTTGTTGTAAGTATTGACTAGGACAGCAGATTAAACTGAACAGCAAATTTGGCTCATGATGGAAAGACGGTTGCCATGTTGTTCATTATCAAAAATCTGCTGTGAACTCAGTCTTTGTACAGCCATACACAGTAAAGGTGTACTGAATTAAACAGAGAGGGAGAGGGATGAATACGTTTAATGTTGTGGAATATTCAAAGCTAAGTTTTTGTCCAGGCTTAAGCTTCCATTAAAAACATATCCTCCGTCAAACGTTTCCTAAAAGTCATCCATCCGTCGGCTGTGTTCTGTGAGTGTTCTTTCAGTGGATAAGCTGACCATTCGATTTCCTCCCCACCGCGCTCTCAAAACAAACAGAAACCCCGCTTGCTGTTTGGGTTTGAATTTTGAGCTGGAGGCAGTTATATTTCCCTGACTGCCTGATTCACGTAAGAATATTTCTTGAAGGTGGTTGCTGATGGACTGAGGAGTGTGCCAAGCTCTCCATGACTTCTGTACCATTTTTAGATACGCATGGTTTTTGCTCTGATTATTGCTCAGATTAAGTTTTAGCTTGGATGTATGTCTACGTGGCTGTGAGGTGAGTTTGAAGAGTTAGAATTGTTAGTATTACAAAAATGAATTTGTGTTAGTGGTTTAAGTTTAGATGTATGTTTCTAGAGTTTTAGAATTGAGCCCTGCTTTATTATGAAGTACTTTGATGTGTTTCTGTTAATAATGACCATATTTACTATTAAGAAAGTTTATTACAAGTTGATTTTTATTGTTCATAACAAATTTGTATACATTTTTCAAGAAGTAAGGAAATATACAGTGTTATGTGTTACAGATGAGTGAACTTTAGCGTGTCTGTCTCTCTGTAGCTGATGGAACTGGAAATGCAGCTTTGCTTTACTATCCTCACTGTTTGCTATGGGATGCTTTCTTTGCTGATTGATGACTGTAAAATTATAATACTGCTCTTGTTTTACTTCTCTGATTCCAGGAAAGGACCTGGTGTGGTCTGTTGTTATTTTAATGTATTTATTGATTTACTATGTGGGTCACACTTTATTTTGAGTGGTCCTTTTTAGATTAAACAAACACTCAACAGACTCTCAGTAACATGTCAAAAACAAATGAGGGGTTAGGATTAGGTTTTGGGTTGAGGTTTAAGGTCAGGGTTAGGGTTAGGTTTTGGTAAGGTTATATCTACAAGCTACTTACTTCAATGTATTCAGATGCTCCACTACTGCTACTTCACTGATGTGTTGTTGATGTGTTACTGATAATCTGTTAATTAATCATTTACGAGGGACCACTCCAAATAAAGTGTTACCACTATGTCAGATGATACTAGTTTGTAGTGCATCACAGACAATTTTAAATATTTTTGTATTAATTTTGTTTGTGAGACACACACGTATGATTGCGCATGTCAGTTGAATCCTGTATAAAACCACCAAATTATTAAAAATCATTGTGATGTTCCTGAAATAATCTTTTACAGTTTTGGAGCTTGGTAACCATAGTGTACTGTAAATAAACTGCATTGCTTGGTGGATGAATTGTATATTATGATTATTTTTAATAATAAATAAAGTACTTATTGAACATTGGCATATTTCATGATACTGTATTTTGTCACAGTTTTACCCCATCATCTTTTTCCACCACAGATAAATCAAGTCCATCTCCCATAATGGTTGACCAAGGGCCTCCCACTTCTCCTGTGCCTCCAACCAGCACCAATGGAGCCACCAGCAACACCAACAGCACCAAAGGATGGAGGAGCAAGTCCCTCAATGCCAAGCACAGTGCTACCTCCTCCATGCTGTCCGTCAAACATCCATCCTCAGCTTCCTTAGAGGCTCCTCCCAAAGTCATCGCCCAGAAGTCCATGCTGGACAAGTTGAAGCTCTTTAACTCTAGACCCAGTTCTCGTGCTTCCAGTGTTGCTTCTTTAGAAGAACCAGAAACTCTGCCTCCAGAGTCAGATGGAGGAAATGTTTGTCCTATTCATCCTGAAGGCCAGTCAGGTAACCAGCGGTCAAGCAGCACCAGCCCGAAGCTGGCTCTGAAAGGTATCGCCCAAAGGACGCTGAGTAGAGCTCTGGCACCCAAGATCAGCTCTGCCAAGGCTGCCGAGAAGGACAAGGATAAGGGAAAGCAGAAGGGAAAAGAAAAAGCCACGAAACGATCTTCTGGTGTGGATCAAGACCAGATTAGAGAAGAAAGAGAAGAAACCAAAAGCGAAACTCAAGGTTTAGTTGATGTGAAGAAATCCAGTTCTATCCCCAAAGGGGCTAAGGGCAATAGCAATGCCAAGAAAGAAGCCTCCTCTACATCACAGAGTGGTATACCCAAACCAGGGCATGCTGGGAAAGGCCCTGGGTTGGTGAAGGCCACAGTGGCGAGCCCTTGTGGAAAAGAAGGGGAGCGCTCTCGCAGTTTTAGGGCTGGAGGGAGTGTATCGTTGCACAAGTGTCCAATGGAGAACAAAAACTCCAGCTCTACCTCTAGTTTGGCATCATCAGAGGGAAGGTGCAGTCAGAATAGTACGTGCAGCGTCATTCAGTCCACAGCCAGCAACACAGCCAGTGTGCAGCTTCCTCAACCACAGGCACAGTACAGCCATCCCAACACTGCTACAGTTGCACCCTTCATGTACAGGTAAGATGTTGAACATATGGTGTGTGTATGTGGTCAATGCAAATTTATTGTCACGTACAAAAACATTGTCATATCGCTGCTGTCAGAACCAAACCTCATATCTCCAAATGGTAACTTTACAGGAGAAGGAAAAAACATACAGTCTTTTAACGTAAGTCAAAGTAACTAGATTTTTTCCGAAGTCATTTTGGGTCATTTTTGTTGGTCCATTCATCATGAAATGTACACACAATGTAAAGGACAACAGGCATTTTCAAATTATGTTAGAACCTAAAAAAACAACAAAAATGGAGATACAACGTTTTGTTCCGACAGCAACAATATATAATCTTGTAGTGAAATTCTTAGTAACAAGTTCCTAGGATTGTGCATAATGTCATACAGTCCATAAGTATTTGGCCAGTGACACAATTTTTGGAAGTTTGCTTCTTGTATACAACCACAATGGATTTGAATCAAGCAGTCAATATGTGATTGAAGTGCGGACCTTCAGCTTTTCAGCTTTAATTCAAGGAGTTTAACAAAAATATTGCATTAAGCATATCATTGTCAAAGTCTACAATCAAGAGATGCCTTTATGAATGTAAATACAGAGGGTTTTACCTCGAGATACAAACCACTGGTAACACTCAAGAACAGAAAGGCCAGATTAGACTTTGCTAGAAAACTAATCTAAAAAAAATCAGCCCAGTTCTGGAACAAGATTCTTTGGACAGATGAAACCAAGAGTAACTTGAATGGCGGGAAGGGAAGAGTATGGAGAAGGAAAGGAAGGGCTCATGATCTGAAGCATACCACATTATCTGTCAAACATGGTGGAGGTAGTGTCATGGTACGGGCATGCATGGTTGCCAATGCAATGGTATTTACCAATGATGTGACTGCAGAAAGAAGTAGTAGATGAATTCTGAAGTGTATAGAGCTATACTTTCTGCTCAGATTCAGTCAAATGCTGCAAAACCGGTAGGACGGTGCTTTACAGTACAGATGGATAATGGCCCAAAACATACCATGAAGGCAACCCAAGAGGGTGCTTTTCAGTTACTGAAGACAAAACTGAAGGCAGAAAGACCCACAGACAAGCAGCAACTGAGGGCAGCTGCAGAAAAAAGGCCTGGCAAAGCATCCAAAGGGAGAAAAAGCATTTGGTGATGCCCATGGGTTCCAGACTTCAGGCAGTCATTGACAAAGGATTTGCCTCCAAGTATTACAAATAATCCTTGTATTTGTAATTGTTAGTTTGCCTATTTACCTTTGAGCGATGGAAATGTGGGGACTGTGTAAACAATGACTAATTCCTAAATGGCTAATGCAATATTTTTGCTAAACTCCTTGAATTACAGCTGAAAGTTACATATTGACTGCTTCATTTATATTTTCAGATCCATTGTTGGTGTACAGGTGTACAAGTACAACTGTCCAAATGCTTATGGACCTGACTGTATGTATAAGCTAAAGTTGATTAAATTAAAATAATGCTACATATAATTACGGTTACATTTTAAGAGAATACTTCATTTAGAGAATACTTTATTTATGGCCCTATATCTACAATTGTGTATATTTCAAATCATTCGCAAAACTACTTTGTGGATAATCAACAGAGTCTTAGGTTTAGGGATGGAAAAAGTTGGGTGAGCATGTACAGGCCATCTACAAAGCATTACAGAATTGTTTTACTTCTCTAACAGCTTCAGCTGATCTCCAGTGTACCATGTTTCTGCTCTTTGACGTTGCACAGGTCTCAGACGGACATGGATAAGACCGGACTGATGGAGGGTGGAGAAGTGAAGAAAGAGAGATCCGTCCTTCACAGCAAATCCATACACACATCTTTAGAAAGCCTGACAGGTTTGTGTTCTTTAGTTCACACAGAGTAAACCCCACTGCTATTTTCCAGTGAACAGCCCACAGCACTGCTCAGTTATTATTCAGATTATGCAACTTAGCAGCTAATTGTTAAGGCCTCCGTGAGATCAGTCAGGTGTGTTTGAGCAGGAGAATACTGTGCAGTGTTGAGACAGAGCAGAAACTAAGGCTACATTCACATAATAGGTTTGAAGTAGAGTTTACAGTTTTTTTAAAGGTTTTTGAAGTGGTACAAATCCAAAAAATCAGATCTTTTCAAATCAGATTTGAGCCAGATTTGAGATTTGTTTTGCTCAATCAGACACATACGTGGCCAGGCAGCCATAATGAGAATGGTCTCTTTTTTGCATCACACCGTATCGCGCATGCGTATAACATTGTTGTGAGCAGATGGAGTCTGAGCCAAAAAAATGTAATTTAGTGTTAAAGTTTGTAAAGTGAACTTTTTCCTGTTGAACAGAGCTAGGAAATGTCTCATTAATCTCATCCGTTTGTTCAGGAAGAGGCATAGAGGGGTTTTAGCAGCTTCACAGCCCTGAGTCTTTTGAATCCTCAAGGTCTTTGAGCGTGCTTTCTTCAAACCATTGTTAAAAGCATATGCTGAAGTTCTTTTGGCCTAAACATGGTTTAAACACCTGAAAGGTTTCAGTGCTGATGAGTGCTGACATCACAATAAGGGTATAAACAGGGATGTAATGATACACTGAGCTCAAGTGTCGATGTAATTAATTGGGTGCCTGTTCTCCACAGTGCATTGTCACTGTCACATTGCCATAATGCACATTGTCACAGGTTTGCTTAGAGAAATCATAATATCATGATGCACTGTTGCACCCCTAGGGATAAAAAATGCGGCCTTATCTAAACGGAAGACATTTCAGAGTGGTAATTCTCCTCTCTACAAGTTCTCTGCCCTTACACTACTTGTTTACTTGTGGAAGAGTCTAATCACTGAAGATTACAACACCACCATCTAGCGATGGGGGGGTTTAAACACAACACAGAATGAACCACTGTCTGTCCTGAATCTTTGCGTGTAAGCTATCAATGAAAATGAATTAAAATCGATACGTTATCGATCGATACAATAATGATCGTGAAACATAATATCGCGATACTCAAGTGTGTCGATATCTTCTTGCACCCCTAATGTTGGGGGGAATTTTGTTGACTTCAGTGAGAAACAATTTAGAAGTGTGCATTCAGTGTAAGTGATCTGATGTAAATCCTGAGGAAGAACGTGGCCTTCAGCTCTGCTGTGTGTTCAGGGCCCAACTGAGAGAATCCTACAGCGCTGTTGTTTCACTGGACACAGAGAGAGAAAGAAAGAAGGAGCTCATCTGCATGATAAAGGCCATTGATGTCAAAGAGTTGCGAAGGCCCAGCCGTGTGTTTGTGTGTGTGTGTTTGTGTGTGTGTGTGTGTGTGTGTGTGTGTGTGTGTGTGTGTTAATTTGTCTTAAGGTATGTGTTTTGCATGTGTTTGTACAAGTTAGCATGAGGTTTATGTATGTTTGTTTGAGGTAGTGTGAGTGTGTGTATGTGAGAGAATGGATTAGTTAGCATTAGGCTTTGTGTGTGTGTTTTGTGTGAGGATGTGTGTGTGTGTGTGCGTGTGTGTGTGTGTGTGTGTGTGTGTGTGTGTGTGTGAAACTGTTTCTGTGGGTAGGTTTTTCTCATTCTGTCAGGGCTCTATGAGAAGAGAAATTGTCTCTGCAGGGGCAGTGCGCTGGCGGATGCTGGTGTGTCATTCAGTTTGCTTTTTCCCCCTCTCTCTCTTTTCCATGGACGAGAGGAAAAGGCAGGACTGTCCTTAAAAGAGTTTCTTTCACTGCTTACTTCACACTTTCTCTGCGGAAAAGAGCAAGGAAATGTGTCAGAAATCCCATCCGCTTGTCCTCAAAGGGGCATGGAGGAGTTTTAGAAGCGTCACAGCCTTCAGTCTGAGTGTTTCGAAGACTTGCAGTCCTGAGTTTGAGTTGTTGAAGGCTCCTGGCCATGCGTCTGAATGTTTTTGAAGGATCACAGTCCTGAATTTCAGTTTTATAAAGGCTTCTGCATTTGAGGTTTTTAAAGGCTCAAGGCCTTGAATTTGTTTTTTTGAAGGCTTTCATTTTGAATTTTAGAAGGCTTAAAGTCTTTGGGAAAACCAACGACTGTATTATGGAGCATCAGAACCACAGAAAATCAGATTTTGAAACGTCATTAACCAGCACGTGTGGACCCTCTTTGAACTGTGTATCTTTAAGCCAAACTGGGATTGGAACTGCATGTGTGGTCTCCTCAACTTCCAGCGAAAATCCAGCAGGAAGCTCTGTCAGTGAAGCACCAGAAAGGAGTGACTACACTGGGCTGGTAGAGAGGTCTACGGAGGTGAGCTCCAGGGGATGTCCTGCAGTAACATCTGAGGAGAAAAGCTGGTGTGTGGACCCTCGAGAGGTCAGAGGGAGTGTGTCTGACGCATTGCACACTCACAGCCACATGTATCAGCTGCACCTGACCCAACACATGCACGTGTGGGACGGCATTGCACGTGTTAACGAGGAGATCCTTCTGACCATGCTGGATATTTATGAGAAATATGAGAGTAAGAGGATGCGCCTGTATGTGTGTTTGTGTGTGTACAAACTATCTCATTGTGCATGAACATGTGTGTATGTGTCTAGTCAGCACAACCATGTTAGTTATGGTCTTAATAGACGTCACATACTGTTTTATTTTTTATGAACTATGCATCTGTTAAGGACTGTGAGGCATTCTGAATATGTTAAGTCTGTCCTCCATATTTATCACCTGTCAGTTTCCCCAGTACTGCACAATGTGCTCTCTTAAAGTCATTGGCTACGTTTACATGCAAAGATTTTTGCCAATCCAATCGAAAATCATGTCAGACTCAGGAAAACGTCGCATGTGCTCATTAAAGAAGGCCGAGAGGAAGACGTCGTGTTCTGAGACACATAAGCTGGACGTCTGTCCCACTGTCGTCTTTTAAAGATCAGAGCATAAACTTCGTCTCCTCTGCAGACCAGTTTCTGCTCCCGCCATGTTAAACGTTATAATGACTATGACGTGAAAGAGCTATTATTTTTCTGTTTAACTGATTATTTACAGGATTACCCACCTCATTCAGTCGGATAGAAATTGTATTCTGAATGGCCTCAATCGGACTAGTCTATTCCGACTGAGATGTATACATGGACGTGTTGTATTCTGATTGAGCTGTTAGTCGTATTATTAACAGGTTATCAGGCTGCATGTAAGCGTGGCTATTGACACAAAGTGGACATTTAATGGGATAGTTGGATAAAAACATATTTAGTACGATTTCCCCCTTTTACTCTAAAGGTAGCCAATCCGTGTAGACATGTTTGGTTCTTTAGGTGCACACGGGAACTGCAAGTCTAATGTAGCTATTAAAAATAGCTTTTTTGTGCTTTATTTATTGTTACTTGCAGTTTAACGTCTAGTCATCATGAAGTCTTTCCACACTAAGTCGATGGATTTAATGCAATGAAACTTTCACATCAAGTCCAGTGTGTTTTTCTAACACTTTGTTTAGCCAGTGTGACTCAAAGACACGGACACTGGGTAGCAGCCCGCTCTGCTAAAAAATTCAATACATAGCACAGGAGTTCCACTAACTCAGTAGCTGTGTATGTGTGGTGGAGCTTGAGCTTCTGCTTCAGCTTGGAGCTCCAAGTGTTCAAACTGAACAACAGATTACAGGAGCAATCATGAGCTCATGACCGTGCAGTGTCAGAGGGCACATCAGCAAATCTGTTTGAGATTATTTAGAGTCTTTACTACCAGTCTGAAACGAACCTTGGGGGCAAGCCGATGGGTGCTGAGACGAGTATACTGTGATATTCAGATCTCAGTATTGTTTTTACTTAATTGTGTATTCAAATAATGCATGTATGGTTTGGAGTTTAAACTAAAAGAAAGCTAAATTGTGTATTGCATTTTTTTGTGTAAGTTTCTTTTTACAGAGCTTAAAACAAGCAGCTGATACTGCATGTCATGTTATGAGCTGTGCGCTCTTATTTGTAAATAATGAAATACTTAGAAATCTGTTGAACCAAAATGGCAACTGGAAATTGTTAAAATGCGACAAAATGTCAGTGTAGTTGAGGGGCAACCCAAGTATAGCCTAAGAGTGGGAAACGCTCCCATATGGATAAAAAATATATGGACATACATATTTATATATTTGAAATAAATGTCAAATACATTGCGAGAGCAAGTGTTGTAGGTATTGATACTCTGTGAAAATGCAGTTATGATTTGATAACCTGTTTATTTGAAATACATTGTGTGAGTGTCTTACTGCAAGTACATGGTTAATGCAAAGTACAGTGCAAAACACAGATGTCAGTATCGTTCATATTTAGTCATATCTGTCACCTTTGTTGAAAACTACATAAAATTGAAATAATATAATAACAAATATAAAAAAGGTCAGTTTAGAAATATTTTTAACAGAAACATTTTGGCCATTTTCATACATTGCAAAAACATATTTGATAAATACGTTTGAAATATATATTTTGTGTGCAGACTTGACAACTTGAGGCTCTTTAGCTAGCTGTGAGATTTCATGGTTTGAGGAGAGTGTGTATTGGTTTAGTCATGCAGTTAGCATGATGCTAATTTGTGTACGTAAGCTTCCATTACTTGTTAGCTACATTAGTCAGTCAAGAGCCAGTCAAAGTTGAGGGTGCACATTGTGGAGCTCATTTACATGGGTTTAATAGCTGCAGGGCTGTAAGCTGGGCTCTAGTCAAATGTTAGTGTGTGAGTGATGTTATGAATGGAGTTGTTTGTGCTTTTCTTTGTCCCGGAACATACTGTACATGCGCTCTTACCTCAACACGTTCTCCACAGCACGTGTGTGTGTGAGTGTGTGGGTGTGTGTGTGGTCTGTGCGTCTCCTGAGTTCCCTCATGATCGGCAAGCTCCTCTTAATCCTAGCAGCCAAATCCCCTCAGGCCACAGTGTGTGTTTATTTTTAAAAATCTTATTCGGTCAGGGAGGGGTTGACCCCGTTGTTGGCATCTACTCTTTTTCACTAAAAACTAAAAGCTCTTTAACTAGCCGTGAGAGTTCATAGCTTGATCCCTTGTAAAAGTGCAAGCGCTGTGATGCTGGAACAGAACTTTAAGCAGCAGCTCAGTAGGTATTTCTGCGCCTGACCTGAACTCACCACTGGAAGCATATATTTGCCCCCTCTGGGCTGAAGGAAGCATCTCATTTCATGAGGTCGTGAGGTGCATTTTTGGAGTGTTTGGGTTGCCTGTGTGTTGTAACCTGCCCGAGGGAAGCAGCTGTTAGCTGTTAACAGAGTTTGTGATATAGGCTCTGTTTTTTTCCAGGTGAAGATCCAGAGAGCAGGAGACTGAGGACTGTGAAAAACATTGCTGATCTGAGACAGAACCTCGAGGAGACCATGTCCAGCCTGCGGCACATGGCACACATCAGCCACAGGTAAGGCAAACAAGCACGATTGTCTAAGAGACGGTCTTTATGGTTGGCATAGTTCACTGTTCCACTTGATTCAGATGTGTAATATATTACATCAACACAATTCATTAAGTTCATGCTCTTTTTTTGGCAACAGTTGTGTGATATATTTTATTCATGTGGCAAGTCAGCACATTTTCAGTTAAGTCGCATGCTGGATAGTACCCATGGAGTGACTATATGTATACTGTTGAGTGTGGATTTGCATGTGTGTACATGCATATGTGTGGGCATTTTATTAGAGTAATGAATGCTTATAGGCAAGGAGTCATGAGGAGACACAGCTGAACTGTTTTGTAGGAACCATGGTTGTTTATAATGTAGATCAGATGTTGTCAATGATTTTTATTAATTTGTTAGCTGCTTATTCCATAACTTTTCATGAAGTTCTGATGTAGAACTAGAGGCTGTCACCAGTATACAACAACTTAGAGATAAACTGAGACATCTGGAATGTCCCACACAGTGTTTTTATTTGTAGAGAGCATCACTCTTGGACTAAATGTTTTATATATTATATACGCTGGATGTAAGGTGCACCCATTGCCAACCCAGGCTTTCAGCTGTGCCACACTCTTGTATGATCTCCGTAGAAAGGCCACCATGCCTGCACTCCTTGCTGCCAAAAAATGTATTACTATTAAGTGGAAATCCTCTGAACCCCCCTTAGCCTTTCAATGTGGATAAAAGAAGTCTCTTCCTGTGTCTCTCCAGAGAAAATACTATTCAATTTAAAGAAAAAAGCCAATCTATTTGGGAAATATTGGGGAGATTTTCTTGTATATCTAAAATCCAGGACAGCATAGCCATTTCATTTGACAGCCTGTATTAGGTAACTGTTTTGGATTGTATCTATTGCTCTCTGGGTATTATTTACTTGTATACTAAAACCACTCTGTTTTTTTTGTTTGTTTTCTGTCTTTCTCCTTCCCCTGTAAGCACTGCATGGGATCGGTGGGGGAGTGGGATTGTTGTGGGTGAAGTTTGTACTGCTGTATCTATGTTATATGTAACTGAGATAGTGGTTAAAAAAACTAATAAACATACGGATTAAAAAAAGAAAAGCCACCATGCCCAATGCCCAGTGATAGCTAGTGGGGTATCCAGTACTGCTCCTAGTATTGGGCTGTGGAGCAGTGTGGAGGCAGTAACCTTCCAGTAACTTCCAATAACGTCACATGACCTCACTAGTGTCCATGTGGCTAAATGCAATCAAATCCTCACAGCACTGTTCCAACATCTAGTGAAAAGCAGCCTTCCCAGAAGAGTAGAAGCTGTTATTGAAGGGGTGGACAGTCTCTCTATTAACACCCCTGATTTCAGAAGAAACTTTGGATGAGCAAACTTTGCCTTATGTTTAGCTTTGTGTATGGGTTGATAAACAGCCAATAGTCGTTGTGTCCATTATTACTGATTCCCCTAGTGGACGTTTGGTGTTGGAAGAGTAAGCGTTCTGTGCCAGCTTTTGCCCCGCTGTCTGCCAGTGACTTCAGTTCAGCAGGGCAGAAATAAAACATGACTTTGATTATGAGCAGGCAGTGTAATCACAGCACAGGCCTGAGAACGTGGCCTGTTGTGGCAACTGTGTGAACCGGTTCATCGTGGGACATTTGCGAAGAGTCTGAAACGTGAACAGCTGGCGGGGGGTCATTTTGATTGACATTAAGAGCAGTTTTCGAGACAGGCGGGTGTTGCCTTTTTTCGTCTTTGCCGTGGTTAGTTTGATGTGTGTCTCAGGCATTTGGACTGTGCAGGGGAGGCGTGAAATTGGCTAGTGAACCCCCTGCTGTCTGCTAAACCCAGAATTAAAAGCTTGATCTTGATTCCCAAGTCAATTAAAGAAAGAAATTGAAACCCTGGCCTGGTGGGGTGCTCATTTGGGCCAGGAAACACTGTCAGCCCTTTCTGGTGCGCTCTCTCTCTCTCTCTCTCTCAGTCTCTCTGTCATTCACAAGGGACAGAAAATGCCCAAGGCCTATTTTCTGGCTGGATTGTTTGATTCTTCTTTCTTTAGTGAGTTGCATTTGCCCACCCTTGATTTACCCTTGCGTCACTTGACCAGGATGCTTTATACAAAAAAGCTTTTCAGTGTTAGGAAGTGGATATAGTTTGGTTCAATTCAGTTTTTTACGATGGAAGTTGTCCCTTCCTGGGCTGTTTAATTGCATACAAAATTTTACAAGGTATAACTTTTTATGCATATTAAACTCAAGTCAAATTATTCCAAAATATCTGAAGCAGGCTCGGTAGACCAGCCCTCCCCTCTGTACAATTCAACACATGCTCCACCCACAAATACGTTCTTCTAAACATCTCCTAAAGAAGAGTTGCACTATCAGTGATGTTTATTTTGTAAATACATGAAAGCTCACACTGTTAGGATATATTTCTCATCAGCTGTTGACATCTGTGTCTGAACTCTCTCCTCCAGCACCCTGGAAACGACTTTTGACACCTGCGTAACCACAGAGATCAACACAAGGGGCCTGCTGGCTCTCAGCCCCCGTCCTGCTTCGACATTACCGTGGCGACTGGGCTCATCCAGCCCTCGTCTTCAGGCGGGCGATGCCCCCTCATTAGGGACTGGATATGGGCAGCATAACGGCCGCTTCCGGCAGAAAAACTCAACCAACGCCGCTGACCTTTGTGACCTGAACGTTTCCAACAAGGTGGAGGACCTGGAGGGCATTGCTGTGGATGCTGCAGGGTACATGAGCGATGGAGATGTCCTGGGCAAGAGTGTGAGGACAGACAGCGCCACCAGCGGGTGAGTGTGCATATGTGCAAAATTACACACACAGCTGAAAGCTGCACTCTGTGCAGGTACTTTATGTTCATCAAGGTGCAAACAGTGTAAATGTACCTTCAAAGGTACAACAGTGGTCTTAGGACCAAATGTGTACCTTAAATTTTAAAAGAGCAATAAAATAAAGGCTGGAGTGAAGAGTGTGTCGAGTCAATAGAACGTAAAATATACAACTGGCATGGATTATGGAACAATTATGTTACCTAACTAAAGGTGCTGAAGATGCATCCTATGAGGGTATGAGGGTATGACACCAGTGACATGAGGTGTACCACCCCAGTGACAGTTTACTAATTATTTTTTTCCCAGTGTTTCCCAGCTCCGGTTCTGCCCTGCACATTTTTTTTTCTTTGCACCAAAATATGTAGGGATGGGAATGTTATTCTTGTTGGAATTTTTCTTGGGAACCACTGTTGTACACAGAGTATGTGCTCCTAACAATGAAAGGGAAGTGTTTTCCTCGGGGTGACTACATTTATTCCTTTGCTCTATGACACTGTAATCCAAACCGCCACTGCTTCCTGGCAGCCTCTAGGTGGCACTATTTAGTTTCCACATATTCACTATAACAGTGGTTCTCCGTTCTGGTCCTGGAGTGTTTGCCCTGCATGTTGTTTTTTTCCTGCTCTAACACACCCAGTTCACCTTAGGAAGGGCTTGTTAATTAGTCTGTTAGTTGCATCAGGTGTGCTAGAGCACAGGAAGCACTAAAATATGTAGTACAGTTTTAACTTCAGGATTGAGATTCACTGCATTATAAATATCCAGGCCAGTGTTCTCGCTCCCAGTCCTGCTGGACCACAGCACTGCACACTAGAGATGCACCGATATGGGAACTGTGGGACCATGCTGATAGCCGATACTTTTATACACATACCTGCCAATGCCGATACTGATGACAATAAATGGTTATAAATTGTAGAAACTGAAACTAAATTCACATTAAAATTACTGAGAATTATTTTTCTGTGGGGTTACAAATGCAGTAACATGAAAAAAATACAGATATTTTAGCCCAGTAGTCCAGCATCGCTTAAACATTCTGCTTATCCAGAAAGGTAAAGCAAATGTCTGCAGATACCGAAATGATTTCAAAATCATTATGCATCACTCCTGCACACTTCATTGTTTTCCTGTTTTAGCTCACATGCCATCACAAGCCTTCATTACCAATAATGCCATTCATTTTTCGTAACCCTTAGAAGTCTAGAGTTACTATCTAAATCTGAAGAATGTCATATAAATGCTTAATATGAATTGCATTTACATTTGATTTACATTATTCAGGGAGATTCACTTGAAAGAGGCCCTGAATATTCTGTTGTAACTCCCAATAGGATGAAGCAGTCTGAACCAAAAAATACGCTACATACCTTGACGGATGTGTAATCAGTTGGATTGCATGCGATGCTGGAAGTGATCCCCGTTTTCTGCCAGACACATTTAGACACTGGGCTCCATGCTCCGACTCAGGGGCATCCCAGCTTGTTCGAAGCTCCATATTGGGGGAGCACATTGCATGTTGTTTCGTTCAGATTGCTTCGTCCTAGCGAGAGTTATTACAGAATATTTGGGGCCTCTTTCGAGTGAATCTCCCTGTATATCAACATGTTTGAGTTTGAATTTTGTTTCGATGTCAAACAATGGCAAGAGCTTAACATGTAAAGGATGGATTTTCTTTCCACAGAGCAAACCTACATACACAACAGTGACATTTCATCAAATTCAAATCATATTAAAACATTTCATGCTTTTGGTATCACACTTCATGCTTTTGATATCACGGGTGATAAATGCAACTTCTAAGGGTTAATAGACTTTGTGAACTTTGAATTGGACACTGTGCTTATTGTGGCTTTCAGTGAGGAAGTGCAACAGAGTGTGTTTGTGTGTGTTTTTGTTTGTGGTGGTTTGATCCGTCCCGGGCAGCCTGTGCAGTGAGCGGCCAGCCTCGGCCCTTCGGCGTATAATCATGCAACATGCACGCCAACTTTGTTTGCACACTTTGTTTTTCATTTGTTTCGCTGGGAGCCCTGCCAGGAACCGCTCACATGTTCTAAGCCCTGAATACCTTGCTTATGAATCCTAGCGGCTTATGGCAGCTGCAAAATTATAAATTATACATGCGCATGAACTGTTGGCCTCGTCTTGGGCACCAAAACACGGCCTTGTTTGGGCTGTGGGTACAGCCCTGAACTCCTGATGACTTTCAGCCAAACTGATGGCTGCTAGCTGGGGAACTAGGACTATATCTTTATACATTCACATGGATTCAGGCTTGGCTGCATCTGATTCTTATTGATTTGTCACCTGACAAAGCCTTCATAGCTGTGTGTTGGCTGTTATTTTGCTTGGATGTTGACTGATGGATGGTCAATTTTGCCTGTGTGTGAATTAGACTCAAGTCTTTTGGGCATAGGAACTGTAGCATGTGGTTTTAAGGAACATGTCAAGGGTCATGGGAAATATTCTTGGCTGAATCCTCAGAGATGAGTACAGAGAGCATAAAGCAGGAGAGAAAAAACTTAGTGAACCCCTAGTTTCTTAAAGAAAAATGTAGTCATCTTCACACTCAGTGGAAATAATGCACATGTTGGACATGTTGAGACTGATATACATGTCTATGGCACAGACATCAGTGGACACAATCCCACCTACATCCTGTCCTGGCAGTACTGTTTTGATTCTTTGTTGCACTGTAATGATGTGAGACTAGTGATATAATTGCTGTTAGACGTTCTGTATAGGATTGACAGCGTAACAATAGAAGATTTTTGTTTTGTTAAGTCGTCTATTACAGCAGCACAAAGTACAGTAAAGAGAAAAACAGGAGCAAATGTATTGCCATATGCTATTATACAGATGCAAAAGTAGAAGTAGTAAGGATATATAATAAAATATACCAAAACAGCCATAAAATATAATGTGCAGTACAAAAATAAGTAAGTAAAATTGCATAAATATTATGCAGGTGACAATGCAGTGGTGCATGTCACGTCCAGTGAATGAACCGAGTGACTAAACGCTGTAAATGATAATATATATTAATATTTGTGCAATATGCCTGGGTGTATAAACAAAGTGGCAGTGCAATATGCAATATTTACAGATGTATGAACAAAGTGATGGTGCAGTATGGAATATGTAGATGTATAAGCAAAGTGGCAGCGCATAGTAATGAGTAGAGAAATACAATGTTCAGGTGGTGCTCAGTGAGCCTGTCCTGTCAGTGGCTATTATTAAGTTACTATTCTTAAGACCTATTATTTTTAACTGCTTTGAATTATTTGGTAACTCTTGAAATATGTGAAATTTAATGTCATATTATCATAGGCATTGAAATCCTCTGAGATTATGCATATGCAAAGTATGAGCTCCTTGAAAGGAAGTAAATTTACCAAGATTGCATAAAACCCTGCGAAACTGAGAAGCCATATTCTGGTTTTACTGACTTTGTTTGGGTCCTAGTCCAGAAAGATTTTCAAAAAAGAGTCCCTCCTAGTAGAGTAACTCTTTCACTACATTCTTTAAAAAGATGGTTCGTCAAGGATTCTTTAGTAAAGAAAATGGTTCTACATAGAACCATGGACGCTCAAAGAACCCCTTGCATGATTAAAGGCTTCTTTGCATTGTGAAAGTGTTCTTCAGACTGATAGAGAATGTGCTGAGGATGGTGCTATACAAGCCTGACATTGCAACAGTAGAAGAGCCCTTGTTGGTGCTATACAGAACCCTTTTCAAAAAGCTTCTTTATAGAAACATCTACATCACATTCTTCATCAGTCTGAGAAACCATTTCATGATGCAAAGAACCCTTTAATCATGCAAAGGGTTCTTTGAATGTTCATGGTTCTATATGAAACACTCTTTTTGAAGAGTGTGGCACAAAGCAAGTAACCTTGCTTAGTAACCTTGTTGTCTGGCATGCTAACCCTGACAAAATGCTGGATATGTTTAAATGTAAAGTCAGTATGGGAAATAGTTTGTAGCCTGCTACGTGCTAACTGCTAATCTGAGATGCTGTAGACTTGTTTGGTTGATTTAGTTTGGTTAGAATCCTAAAAGATGGTCAATAGAGAGTCCTTGCTGGTTGTGTAAGTGTGTATGTCTGGCATGATGATTCTGAAACCATCTCACTCTCACGTCTCTTCTTTTAATCTCAGTTTCTGCCATTCCACCAATCAGTATGCCGAAAAAAAACAGTTCTGTGAACATGGTCCTCAGTGAACGCTTACTAATCTCACTCTTTCAGCCTGCCTGCCCTTTTGAACTGTAGTTAAATAAGTGATGGAGGGTTGCCAGGTCAGGGCCAATGAATAAACCCCCTTCAGTGTGCTGTGTTACTGACCAACCAGGCTTCCACTGAACCAGGTCCTCCAGTAACCAGGCTGAGTTAGACTCCCACACAACCCAGTACTTGCTCATGTATTCCAAAAAGACTTGTAATCAGAGAGAGAGATCTGGCCTGCATTTATGGTGAAAAGCTTAGATTACTTGGTTATAAAAAGCTAGACAGACATTTTTAGAAAAATCCTGATAGAGAGAGCTATAAAAACATATTTTTAATGTGTTAAACGTTATGTATAAAAATGGACAACAACAGGTGGTAACACTTTATTTGAATGGTCCACTGTAGATGCTTTGTAGATGCTCAGTTTATCTTTAACTAACATTCAACTTAATATCTGTTAAATGCCACTGAAGTTGCGTGTGAAAGATTCTATTGAATCTGTCCCTAACCCTAAACCTAACCCTAAGCCTAACCTCAAAGCAAAAGGTTCACCTATTCCTAGACCTAACCCTCACTTAAATGTTGTTGCTAATCAACTATAACCAAAATGTTTGTAATTAATATACATATCTGTAGATCATCTATTGGGGACCATCCAAATAAAGCGTGACCAAATATATAACATAGCTAGCATCTTGTCATCTTCATCCCTTTTAGAAGTCAAACAGTG